AGGGTCTTTGCACGGTGCCTGCAATCCTTCCCCCTCAGTTAGATGTGTCCCTTCTCATCATTCAGGTCTCTGCGTGACTGTCAGGTCTCCAGGGAGGCCCTCCCTGACCACGCATGCTGAGGCAGCCCCACTCAGGGGCTCTGTTTTGCAGCTCTCACCACCCGAAGTTTTTAATTAGGCATTTCCATGTATACTGCGTGTTTTCCCCGTTAGACCGTAGGCACCGCAGGGGCAGGGACCGTGTGACTGGAGCAGAGTAGGTGCTCAAGAAAGTGGTTAAATAAATAGATGATTTGATAAGATGCGTGGTTTGGGTTGTCTGGGGGAAATTCAGGTGAAATAGCTCCGGGCCGGTGAGTGAGTGAGAATATGCACTTACAGGAAAGAGAACAGGGGCATCGAGGTTACACACTTAGAACAAACGGAGTTGGAAGTGGTGAATAAGGGAAGTTTGAAGGCCAGTGATAGGGAACGTCTGGGCCATGTCTAGGGAAAGAGTCCCGAAGACAGGGACTATTTGGGGAGGGACTGGAATGGTGGAGTGGAGGGAAGAGAGACCTTATAAGATTGTATGCCCTGGAGTTGTAGGAACTCTTCCCTGCTGTTCTGGGCGTGAACTGTGGGTGAGCAGGAAGAGGCAGTGGGATATGTTTGTGGGGTCCATCCCTATTTGTTGGTGTGTGGGGAAGGTTGGGGCGGAGTTGGGTGCTGTATGGTGGGCGCTGTCTGGCTCCAGGGGCTTATATGGGTAAAGCCTTGGGAAGGCCAGCTCTGAGCTTTAGGGGAAGTCACGAGGGAGCTCTGACAGGTGTCTGGCTTGGCCTAGGTACGCACCTGTGGGCATCCTGTTCCTGATCGCTGGGAAGATCCTAGAGATGGAGGACATGGCCGTCCTGGGGGGTCAGCTGGGCATGTACACACTGACCGTCATTGTGGGCTTGTTCCTACATGCTGGCGGTGTCCTGCCCCTCATCTACTTCCTCATCACCCACCGGAACCCCTTCCCCTTCATCGGGGGTATGCTCCAGGCCCTCATCACTGCCATGGGCACATCTTCCAGGTATGGCTTCATGCCTCATCCCCAGTGCTTTTCTGAGGTTCACTGTGGTTCACAGGCTCTCCTAGGAGTCCTGCCCCTCCTCCCCCTACTGAATGTTGTCTGAGCTGCGTGGCTCATGAAGGTCAGTGGCTCATGGAGGTCTGTAGGTCAGTCGACACCTGGGTGCCGATCTTTGTCCCGGTCTGGCTCTCTTGACCTGTTTTCCACATTTTCTATTTCTCTATTTTATATGGAGGAGAACCAGCTGCCAATTTTGAGGTTAGGACCAAGGTTCCAACATGCCCCATATTCTCTGTCATTTTCTAGCTCAGAGTCTCATTTCCCCTCGAGATGGTCTCTGGGAGCTCACTTGGCTTTTTTCTCTCTTTTTTTTTTGTGTGTGGTTTTATGGGGTTAATAAAGAGTTTCCCTTTTCCCCATCATCCAAATTCAAAACAGTTTGAGAAGTATTCCAGAACCAACTGGATGGAAGAATTAATATTATTGTTATTGCTCACAATGCTGCCTGGAGAATGTGCATTTTGGTCTTTGGCCGACAGGATTGGTGCCACTGTAGCCCAGAATGAAACTCACCTGATCACCACAGGGCTGGGTCCCCAGAGGCCTTCTCTGTGGGGCCAAGCTTCTCACTGCATGACATCAAGCTGACCAGGCAGAGCACATGTTTCGTGGACAGGCCAACTCCCAGTGAGATGTCCACTCCTTCAGCTAAACTCACCAATCAGTTAGGTTGCTCTTACCCTGCTGGGGAGTGGTGGGGGGAGAGACCAGCAGGGTTAGTGTAGCTGAGGTTGCTCCCTGAGCTACAGGACTGGGGATTAGGGGGCCATGTAATACTTCTCTCTTAACCCTGAGGGTGTGGGAGGTCAGCAGACCCCTAGTCCTTTACTTCCTGGGAGTGGAAAGGTCACTAGTGGCATGAACAAGTGTCTAGTAATTAGCCTTAAACTATTGGCTTTAAGTGGGTCAAGAGACCTTCAACCTAGGGGACCACCATTGCCATGTGCTTCTTGCATCATGAGGACCCCTTCTTCCCTGTGCACAGTTACCATCCTCCGAAATGTTACACACTCACCATCCTCCCCTTGCTCTGGCTCCCACCTAGTCTCCCAGTGTTCTCAGCAGAATCCCTCCTTCGGTCCATGGCTGCTCCAGCCCCACCCTGCCACCCCCTGTTCTCAGCCTCCAGGGCTCTCTCCCCTAGCTCTGCAACACTGCCCATCACCTTCCGCTGCCTGGAGGAGGGCCTGGGTGTGGACCGACGCATCACCAGGTTCGTGCTGCCCGTGGGGGCCACCGTCAACATGGACGGGACCGCCCTGTATGAGGCCCTGGCTGCCATCTTCATCGCCCAAGTCAACAACTATGAGCTCAACCTGGGCCAGATAACAACCATCAGGTGAGATGGTCTTGGGGGGCGTCTGCCAGCAGGTGAGACCTAAGAAGTCATTAGCTTGGCTAGGGGTGGAGGGAGCCTCAGCTTGAGGTCAAGGGAGGCTTTGAATGTTGGAGGGAGGATGTGGGAAGAGCCCAGCCTCCCATGCCAAATGAGGCTAAAGGTAAGACTTTGCAACCTGAGGCTATCCGGAGCTGCCAGATGTTTCAGTCCCACCTTCTCTCACATGCTATGGTGGGAGATCCCTTTGCCCCGTATTTTCCAAAGTATGGCTGGTGCGTCCTAATAACCTGAGGCTCTTATAAGAAGGATGGATCCTTGGGTCTCATCACCCAGAGGTTCCAATGTGGTCATTGTAAATATAACAGCAAACATCACCTCCTTCAGGTCTTTGCTCCAGTGTCACCTGTGCAGGGGAGGGTTCCCTGAATATTTTATTTAAAATTGCATGGTTTGGACTTTGTAGGCCGAACCATTTCTCTGTTGCACCATCTGCCTTAGTATATGTTTTAAGTACTCATCTTGCTTACTCCCTGCCTCCCCCACTAGAGTGTAAGCTCTGTTTGGGCAGGATTTTCTTCTAAGGGAGTTTCTGCTAGGTGTCTAGCATGTAGTAGATGCTCAATAAATATGGGTTGAAAGAATACATTTATTGAAGGCTGCTTTTTATTTTCAGGCACTTAATTTAAGATGTCCCAGGGAACCACCTCTCCCCTTCTGTTGTGCCCTTTCTCACTCTCTTCCTCGTCTTCTTCCCACCTCCTGCCTCCCTGTGTTCTTTGTCCATGTACAGTATCACGGCGACAGCAGCCAGCATTGGGGCTGCTGGGATCCCCCAGGCAGGTCTGGTCACCATGGTCATTGTGCTCACATCGGTCGGCCTGCCCACTGAAGACATCACGCTGATCATAGCTGTGGACTGGTTCCTGTGAGTGTTCTTCAGGCCCTGGTACTATCTTTCCTCAATGCCCCCTGTTTTCCTTGTGAGACCCCCAGCCTGTGGGCCCTCATTCCAGCAAGGACACAGAGCTCTAGAATTTTAGAGTAGAAGGGGAGCCTTGGAGAGTACTCCAAACCATGGCCTATAGATCCCAAATTCCATAGAGTTAACCTTGGGAAGTAGGATGCGGAGGAGATGAGCAAGGGGGGCTTTGCCTATGAGCCTGAGCAGCTGTTGTACCTGCTTTATGGAGAAGTCACAAAAAGGCGATCCATGGGACAGAGCTGGCTTGCAAGTTTTTGTTGTTGTTGGTTTATGTTTTTAATTCTCAACTTTGAAAAACAGGAGGTTTACGTTAAAAAAATCTGGACTTTCCTCCCCATTTGGGAGCTGTCAGGTGGACCTGAGTCCCATTTAGACAGTCTCCAGTCTGGCCTGATTTACTCACGGTGGTTATCTTCCTCATCCTATATGCTGTTCAGCCCATAATCCCTAATTTTCTCTATCAGATGTTTACATCCTAAAAAGAAAGAATTGCATTGCTGAGATAACATGTGAGCCTATCAGAGTTGATCCAACCTGCATCTGTTAGGAGGGGAAGCTGAGGACATTGAAGGGGAGGCACCTGCTTGAGGTTATGTGGTCATGGATGGAACATGAGTCCCAACACCCAGGCACAAGGAACCCCCTACCCTGCTGCACCCTCTTCTCCATGAACTCTTCAAACCTCGGCTAACAGTGGCTTCTCTCTCCCCACCCTTCCCCAGTGACCGACTTCGCACAATGACCAATGTCCTGGGGGACTCCATTGGAGCAGCCGTCATTGAGCATTTGTCTCAGCGGGAGCTGGAGCTGCAGGAAGCTGAGCTCACCCTCCCCAGCCTGGGGAAGCCCTACAAGTCACTCATGGCACAAGAAAAGGGGGCGTCCAGGGGACGGGGAGGCAATGAGAGTGCCATGTGAGGGACCCCCAGCTCTGCCTCCCAGAGAGGAGGGAATGGGGCTGGGGTGGGGGGCTCCTAGGGAAGACCCGCTGCCCGACTGACTGCACTGAACACACATGTTCTGTGGCTTGTTTGGTGGAAACCGAGATAAAGGAGCAGGAACGAAAGGGTGTCCAAGGCCTCCATTTCTCTCTGAATGCATGAGGAGAACTTGTGGAGGGCAGTGAGCAAGGCGGGGAGGAAACTGGGACTGGGGGTAAGGGCAGCTTTGGGTCCCACAAGCTGAGGGGTCAGCTCATGTTATTTATTTTCTCAAAGAGTGGTGGAATTGAAGGAGGTAAAGGAAAACCACCATTTATTATAATAAAACAATGTTCATGACCTCTGTGTTGGGGGTCCCCAAGACCTTCAATGATTTGCTAGGAGGACTCGTGGAACTTGGAAGAGCCGTAATGCTCACATTTATGACTTACTGCAGTGAAAGAATACAGATTAAAATCTGCAAGGACAAAAGTTGCCTGGAGCAGGGTCCAGAAGACACCAGATGTGGGCTTCCAGTTGTCCCCTCTTTGGGGAATCCCATGGATGCCCTTAATTCTCTCAGCAATGATGTGTGAAAACACGTATGAATACTGCCAGCCAAGGAAGCTCACCTGAGCCTTGGTGTCCAGGATTTTTATTGAGGGTCAGTCTTGCAGGCATGGAGTGCGTCACTATTCATTCTTCAGCCCTCACAGAAGTCAAATGAATATCGTATTGCCCAGGGCCTCAGGTGAACAAAAACAGTCATTCACCACAAATTACATTGTCAGCCTAGACGACCTGGCATGGCTCAGGACTCCAGGTTACAAAGACACTTTTATCAGGGCGGATATTCCAAGGACTCAGATTATTTCCCAGGAGCTGGTCAAGGGCAAGTCCTTTCTCGGGAATATGCAGACTTTGAGTACCCCTAGCCCTCCAAGTTAACCCTTTACTTCATACACCCATGGCTGGGAATAGAGGAAGCAGCTTGCCATGGGGATGAGTAGCTGCGTCTTGTAGTCCCAACTCTTGACCCCTGAAACCAGTTGGCTCAGTTACCCCCATGCTGGCCCCAGGAAGCTCTGTGTCTCCTTACTACACAGGCAAGCCTAATGAACCAGGTGGGACATTAAATGCGACCTTAATAAAACCTTGGGGAAAACACAAGTAAATAGTAACGTGATTCCAGATGTCATGGGTATAACTCACACTCTCTAACCCTTTTGTCCGGGAAACACAACATTAGCTTTTTATTAAAAAAAAATTTTAATTTTATTTTATTATGTTATGTTAATCACCATACATGACATCATTAGTTTTTGATGCAGTGTTCCATGATTCATTGTTTGCGTATAACACCCAGTGCTCCATTCAATACGTGCCCTCCTTAATACCCATCACCAGGCTAACCCATCCCCCCGCCCACCTCCCCTTTAGAACCTTCAGTTTGTTTCTCGGAGTCCATAGTATCTCATGGTTCATCTCCCTCTCCGATTCCCCCGCCCTTCATTTTTCCTTTCCTACTATCTTTTTTTTTAACTTATTATGTATTATTTGTTTCAGAGGTACAGTTCTGTGATTCATCAGTCTTACACAATTCACAGCACTCACCATAAACGTTAGCTTTTTCTAAATCAAATTAAGCTTCACTTGAGCCACCTACCTCTCTCAAGGGGGAAGGGACCTTCAAGTACAGGTATGTTTGGGGATGCCTCCTCCCCCATCATTTAGGATCCTTAGAGAACCCTTGGGCATACGTAATCGAGGGAACTTGGAAGAAGGGATCCAAGAATTCTTTAACTTATTTGCAGTCACCATGGAAACGTTTGTGTCAGAGATTGGAAAAGTCCATGCAAAGGCAAGAAGCTTATAAAACATTCTACTCCACATTTGACTCTGGGGAGCTTTGCCTGGGATCCCAGTCTCAAACCAGAATTTCTGCCTCTAGCCCATAATCAATGGTCTGTGTCTGCAGACAGCTCCTTGTGGGAGCAGGGTATATTAGTTTACTAGGGCTGCCATGACAAAGTGCCACAGACTGGGTGGCTTAAACAAGGAATTTATTTTCTCATAGTTTTGGATGCAAGTCTTTGACTTGATTCCATTCACATAACCTCAGAAAACATCTCTCTAAATGAGTTTGCAGGGCAACATTTCCCGGTTAGGCACACATCCTATCACCTTGATGATATCTATTGAACACATGAGATTTGATTTATTTTTTAAGAAATCCAAACCATCACTGAAGATTACTGAGAAAATTGCAGGTTCTATTAATATCAAGTTAAAATGACTAGTTACAAAATGAAAAAAGGAATCCACAATGGAACATGAAGAAAAATAGAGGGCAGGGAAGAACCAAGGCAAGCCTTGCTTGGAAACATGTAAAATTAGGAAAAATAAAAATATTACCTGAAGGAAACTAAGATTTGTGGTCCTCAGTATTGTGGGCCCAGCTACTCAGGAGACTCCTGTAATGGTCCCAATGCTGAGAGGCACCGCCCTCCTGAGGGGTGTGCCCAGGGCCCCCTTCATGTCCCTGTTCCTCAAGCTGTAGATGAAGGGGTTCAGCATGTGGGTGACAATGGTGTACATCACCAAGGCCACTGGGCTCGTCCTAGTGGATGAAGCTGCAGGACTGAGGTCGACCCCAAGGCCTGTGCCATAGAACAAGGAGACCACTGAGAGGTGAGACCCATACCTGGAAAAGGCTTTGTACTTGCCCCTGGCTGATGAAATTATCAGGATGGAGGAGAAAATCTGAGAATAAGAAAAGAGGATCCCAGAGAGAGGAAAAACACCTAGGACAATAGTCACAAAATACACCACTAAGTTATTGATGAGGGTGTCAGAACAGGCAAGCTTCAGGACTTCAGGAAGATCACAAAAAAAGTGTGGGATTCCCATGTCTGTGCAGAAGGACAGCCTCAAGAGGGTCAAGGTTTCCAACAGGGAGCCCATGACACTGATGCACCAGGACCCCAGGGCCAGCAGCCCACAGAGCTGGGGGTTCATGATGACCAAGTAGTGCAGGGGCTGACAGATGGCCACAAACCGGTCATAGGCCATCCATCATTCTCAGGAGTAAATTGTCCAGGCATCCAAACACAATGAAAAAAAAATATCTGACTGAGGCATCTTTCATATGTTATGGTTTGCTGTGAGTCTGGATGTTCTGGAGCATCTTGGGGATGGTGGTGGAGGTGAAACAGATATCAGCAAAGGACAGGTTGGAGAGGAAGAAGTACATGGGCGTGTGGAGGTGGGAATCTGAGCAGATGGCCAGGATGATGAGCAGGTTCCCAGTGAATGTGACCAGATACATGGACAGAAACAACCCAAAGAAGAAAGGCTTCAGATCCAGGTCCTCTGTGAATCCCAGGAGGAGAAAATTCCCAACTCCTGTTTGGTTTCCCCTTTCCGTGTGGCTACTGGGTTTGCCCAGAAGGAGGGAAAAAGCAACACAAGATTAACTCCAAATAAGCATTCCCCAGAATGATAGAAATTTCCTTAATGCAAACCCAGGGGATTCATGAAGTCATTCATTTGACTAATGATTGACTGTCTTTGCTGACAAATTGTGGTTACCATTGCTACCTGGAAAAAACTGTCTCTAAGGTCAGTGGTTTTCAAATCGTGGTCCCTAACATCATCAGCATCACCTGGGAACCTGTTGGAAATGTACATTTTCAGGCCCACCTGACCTAATGAATCAGATGTTCTAGGTGTGGAGCCAGCACTCTGTGCCTTGACAGGCCCTCCTGGGGACTCTGATGCATACCCAAGTTTGAGGAGCTCTGTTCTAGTGCTTGTCTGCATCTCTAAGCAGTCATTCCTGATGTCTGCTCTTGCACTTTCTGCTGTGCTTGTGGGAATGGGGAATTCCCTAATGCCAGGCAGATCTTCTAATCTTTGAGAGGTTCTTTCATTGTACTGCCTTTCTGTAATTTCTATATCTTAGCTCCTCTGGACCTTGGGTGTTCCTTCTGCTAAAAAAATAATGAATATTATTATTTTTAATTATCATTTATATTTCATTTATATTACCAACGTCCCTATATAAATTCAGCAAAAATGGAATTTATAAATATAGTGTCCTAGAGTTTATTTACTTATTTATTGATAAATTTTAAAAATTATTTTCTAAATTCCAGTATAGTTAAAGTACAGGGTTAGATTAGTTTCAGGTGTACAATATAGTGATTCAACAATTCTATACATGTCTCAGTTCATCATGATAAGTGTACTCCCTAATCTCCTTTACCTATTTCACACATCCCTCACCCACCAACCACCAGTTTATCCTTTATAGTTAAGAGTCTTTTTTGTCTTTTTTTTTTTTTTAATGTCTTGAGGTCTTTTATTTTCTTTACATTTATCATGCCATGAATTCATAGGGAATGGGTTCCAGCAGTTCGGGTTCCTTTCCATTAGTTCTCACAAAGTGTGCTTCTCTGGGTGGGGCAGGCTGGTGCTTCCGTTGAACCCAGGTACCTTTCTCTTTGGCTTCCTTCTTTTTCTGATCATTTTCCTTCACACACTTCAGGAAGCTGTCTTGGCTCTTTGAGTGTTTAATATGCTCAATGCGTACATTAATTCTCTTGGCAAGAATCTTGCCCTTAACTTGTTTGTTTACAACAATGCCAACAGCATGATGAGTAACATTGTAGACTCTTCCAGTTTTGCCATGGTAACATTTGTGGGGCATTCCTTTTTGAACAGGGCCCATTCCCTTGCTGTCCACAATATCACCTTTCTTATAGATTCACATATATGTGGCCAAAGGAACAACTCCATGTTTTCTAAAAGGTCTAGAGAACATATAGCAGGTACCTCTCCTCTTTCCCTTTGTGTTGGTCATTTTGGCGAATTACTGGAAGATGGCAGTTCCAGCCGAAAGGCTTGTCTTTTTTTTCTTTGTTTTTTAGTGCGTGTGTTTGTGTGTGTTTTTAGTTTTTATTTAATATCTAGTTGGTTCACACACAGTGTAATATTAGTTTCAGGTTGTAGAATTTAGTGATTCAACACTTCCATCACAAGTGCCCTCCTTCATCCCCATCACCTGTTTCACCCATACCCCCCCGCCCACCTCCCGTCTGCTATCCATCTGTTTGTTCTCTAGAGTTAAGAGTCTATTTCTTGGTTTGTCTCTCTCTTTTTCTCTCCTATGATCGCTTATATTGTTTCTTAAATTCATATCTGAGTGAAGTCATACAACATTTGTCTTTCTTTGACTGACTGATTTCACTTAGCATGATACCCTCTAGATCCATCCACGTTGTTGCAAATGGCAAGATTATATTCTTTTTTTTATGGCTGAGCAATATTCCATTGTATATGTATACCACATCTTCTTTATCCATTCATCTGTCAATTATAGTGTCTTAGGCTTTCTAATAATTGTCTTCACATAAGTTCATCTTTTATTTATAGCCTTATCAAAGTATAGTTGATTACAAAATATTGCACATATCTGATATATACATGTTGGTAAGTTTGTGCATATGCCTTCACCTGTGGTATCATTGCTATAATCAAGGTAACAAACATATCTGTCACCTCCCAAAGTTTCCTTGTATTGTTCTGAGTGGTTTTGTGTGTGTGTGTGTGTGTGTGTGTGTGTGTTTATGTGTGGTGTATGTGGTAAGAATACTCACAATTTATCCTCCTAACATATTTTAAAGTGTACTATACCGTATTATTAACTATACCTAGTATGTTATACACCAGATCTCTATATATTATTCAACCTGCACAACAGAAACTTTATACCCATTGAGCAAAAATTCCCTATTACCTCTCTTCCCAGCCACGGACAACCTACATCCTATTCTCTGCTTCTGTGAGTTTGATGATTTTACATACTTTATGTAAGTGGAATCATGCAAATCAGAATTTGTACTTCTGTGTCTGGCTTATTTCACTTAGCATAATGTCCTCCAAGTTTATTCATGGTGTCCCAGATGGCAGGATTTCTATACAGTATTTTAATGTATTTTAGGTTTACTGTCATTAATAATGATATTCTCCCAAGTTATATCTCTGATATTGCTATTAAAATAGGAAGGATTTTGATTTTTTTGTATTTATAAACTATGGGCATTTTTGGATTTTATTAATAATTTTAAGTTTTTCTATAATATTTACATACTTTCTCCAAATAATATCAATTTACAATACCTACTTATCTTTAGGTCTTTTTACATTGGTATGAAATTCAATACTGCTCAAATTTATAGTAAGAGTTCTTCATTTCTTTCAAAAGTATAATCCTGGAGTTTTGTAATTTTATAAGATGTTCACCATAATTTAGGATATATAAAAATATTTTTATCAACTTAACTTACTTTTTTTTTTTATTCCTAGATACCTTAGAAGGTCTTTTAAAGGCATAAGTGTTTCATGATTAACAGTTAAGAAAAAGGGGCACCCAGGTGGCTCAGTTGTTAAATGTCTGCCTTCGGCTCAGGTCATGATCCCAGGGTCCTGGGATCGAGCCCTGCATCGGGCTCCCTGCTCAGGGGAAAGCCTGCTTCTCCCTCTCCCACTCCCCCTACTTGTGTTCCCTATCTCACTGTGTCTCTTTCTGACAAATAAATAAAATCTTTAAAAAAAACAATTAAGGAAAAATAATGTTAAATCTGATCTCCGTATTCCCTAATAAATTTCTTTTTAAAAAAGTTTTAATTTAAATTTCAGTTACTTAACATACAATGTAATATGAGTTTTAGACG